ACCCACGTCTCTCTGGACTTGGGCTCTTTCTTGGAGATCTTTCATGCTTCTTGGTCCTTTGTACTCAAATCGGAAATGTTGGCCGGAAGAATGATCGTGGGCCTTCGAGGAGCGATTTTGAACCAAGCGAAAGCTTGGTTGGCCGCCTTCCACCGAGAACGCATCGAAGGTGCTGCCAAGATGGTCGAAGAGGAAATGTGGGTCCAGGCGGAAGTGGCAATCAACGATCAAGACGAGGTTGCTCGAATTGTTGAGAGCGCTACCGCAGACCCGAAAGCCTTCATCCTTCCGGCACCTGCGAAGGATGCGTTGAGCGACAGCCCCATCGACGCTTCTACGAGCCTCAAGACTCTTTCCATTGAGGAGAAGCAGTACTTTGTGGTGGGGGCCAGCACGCACGTTCTGCGGCTTTTGGCGGAATACCTACGCGTCGTCATCAATCTGCCTCTGCTCACGACCGAGGCGATGGGCCGTGTTGTCGAATTTTTGAAGGTGAGTACAGAATGAAGAGGCGCTCTAAATAGATCGAAACGAAAGCTCAAGAGTCATGTTGCCGCTTCCCAGCAATTCAACTCTCGCACGTGCCAAGTGGTCTTAGGTGCAGGTGCCATGCGCTCTGCTGGTCTGAAGAACATCACTGCCAAGCATCTCGGTGAGCAAGACAAGGTTCAGTGGCACACCAAATATGGCAGGTGTCTGATGCTCAAGATTTGATCACCTGTTGCGCACAGCCCTTGCTTCGCAATCACTCTCTATAGTCATCACGCTGATTCCATATGTCCGGGAGACGGTGCGGAGGCATCTTAGCCAAACACAAGCAGTGATGCTGATCGAGTTCGACAAGTTGCGTCGCGACTACCAGGAGCATCAGAACGAGATCTTTGCCAAGCTGGTTGCCATCATGAGCGACCGCTTAAGCGTTCACTGTCGTGGGCTCTCGGTGCGTGTGGGTGGCTGGAGCGCGAATGAAGTCTTGCTGATGATTTGTGCCATCCACAGGCTATCGAATGGAACGCGCCGCTATCCTCGTCTCCACCAGAGCCCTCGAGATCCGTTCAAGACCTGAGCAAGGAGACGGCGACCTTGCATAAAGTTTTGTCAAAATATCTCCAGCCTACTTCTGTGGAGACTGTGATGGGACAAGTACTCTCGGCGATCGACAAGCGAGTAGCAGAAGAGCTTGCTCAGGTCGAGATATCGGGTAGCGAAGGCAGAGAACGCATGCGCGAAGATGTCGCCTTGCTGCAGCGTAAGCTTGGAACCCTGAAAGGCGTCACCTGGAGCAACGAGGTGCGCTTTGCCGACACGTTTCTTCTCGGCGTTTGCTTCGAGAAGGAAGACGATCACGCTGACTATTTCTTGTCCTTGCGGGGTCTCGACAGAATCTTGCTGCAGTTTTGCGTGAGAAGAGTGAGCCAATTCCCCAATCACCGGTCACCTCGCCACCGCCCCAGACTCCCGGGACGCCTGGAACTCATGCTTATGTACCTCGCATCAACATCTTTGGTCGGCGGAATGCCTCGGCGCAGCAACAAAGCGCGCGTCCATCGGGCGAGACACCGCGGAGCGCGACACCGAGCAGCGATGCTCCACCACGCGTGAGCGCCTCCGAGCAGCTCCCTCGTGAGACTCCTGCTTCGACCAATCCTGCAGACGTGGTGATCACCCCTATCGACAGTGACCAGAGCCCCTCCCAGAACAGTAAGCCGCGCCAATCAACAAGCGAAGATGCTCCTGAGCCCCCGTCAAAGGACACCGCTGCAAACGCCACAGAGCCGAGTGAGAGCGACAGGACCCTGCAGACAGAAGACGTCATACAGAATGAGGCCAGCTTGGCAGCCGCCCCGTCGGCCAACTTGCACGCTTCAGTCACAGATCATGGACCCGCTATGGGTACGCAGAACGTCGAAGACGCTTCTCTGAGCACGCAAGACGCCGAGCGGGCATCAAGCGAAGGGAATGGAGAAGTTGCACCTGAGGGACCAAGGGAAGCAGAGAAAGTCAACATCGATTCACCAGAGGTTACCGCTGCTAAGGCTACAGATGCTAGCGCCTCCGTTGGTGCACCGTCAAGCCCTGGTGCCGCCAGTCCTAGCAAGCCTGCGCGCATCACGCTCAAGCAGCGCTTGGCGGAAGCAGCGAGGAAGAGAGCGGCAGCAGAACAGCCTGCATCGCAATTCGCTTCAGCAGATTCACCTCTCACAGCGCCGATTGCGCCTGCTCCTTCTGAGACTCCATCTGAGATCGCGAAAGTTGCAGCTGAACAGGAACACTCGACGACACCTCAACAGGTCACGCTTGCCGCCAGCGCAGCGGAACCATCTTCTGAGAATCGAGACGATGATGTCCAAGAAACCGGCGAGAGGAATGGTGTTAGTGAGGCTTCGACCGGAGCTGACGGCATCGAGGCTGGTGATAGCTCAGAAGAAGCCGTGAAGCCGGACACTGAGCCCGCCGAAAGTGCGGATGTCGAAGATGGTGCGACTACTGAGCCAGCGAAAGAATCCTCATCCATAGATTCCTTGGGCGCCAATGATGCAGCTCATGTGTCCGGCCAAGAAGGTGCTGCGGATTCCAAGGCGGCAGGTGAATCCACGAACGATGACTCGGCTGAGTCGACCACCACTGGCCTAGCCGAATCAGCACAGCGCGACGGGACGGAAGAGGTTCAGCCGGCTGCCAACGCAGAGCACCTGTCGGAGGAGTCCACTGCTCTTCGAGACCCTGCAAGACAGCCGGAGGAAGAGGCCGCTAGCAAAGAGTAAAATTTGCTCTGACATGCCATTCTGTCCATTTGGCGCGCTTTACTCGCAATCATGGCATGTCCTCTTGCAATAGCACTATACATGCCAAGACTTGTTCAATGTCACTTCGCAAATGTGATTGCAGTGCTTTTCGTACAATACAAGCTTCTGAGGCCGATCAATGTGTGCTGGTACTAGGCGCGAGGAACTGCCTCAAAGGCTCTGCCGGGTGGTCGAAGCAGGTGGCAATCGCCAATGCAAAGGTCCCAGCACTAATGTTGAGGCTCCTGGTTGGAAGTAGGTGGAAGGAGGGGCGGGGGCAGGGAGGAACGTCCTGCTCGAGGGTCGCCGCTGAGATCTCCGGTGGACAAAGGAGGCAAGGCGGGAGAGCCGTAGTTCTCCGGAGTAGCTCCGATCTGGTTGGACCCCTTTGAATGGGACCATCGGTCGTACTGTTAACGAAAGCGGCATCTACGGTAGGTTTCTCGAGCAAAGACTCACTTGCATTAGGGATTGAGCAGAGGAAGGAAGAGGTGGTGCTTGAGAAATGACACCGTGTAATGTACGAGGCAAGGAGGGTGCCTGAAGGGCATCAAAGTGCAAAATGCAAAGGTAAGATTCAGGCATGTAGATCATGCCCGCTTGCTCGCACGGACAGCTCACCTGGGAAGGGGATCGAGTTGGGTCACGCCGAGGAGGTGGGGGTGGTAGCGCCCGAAGGCTGCTTCTAGGCGAAGGCTCGTATGGCATAGCGCGCTGCATCATTGGCGGAGGAGGTCTCAATGCATTCGGACGTTGCCTTGGCGAAGAAATTGCACTAGGTTCGTGTGATGGACGGCGGACAGGCGGAAGTCCCGGATGGACCACTCCAGGTGACTGGGTCGAACTCTCTCTGCGTGACCACGCTTGAACATCGTGGTCAATCGGCGCCCGCGACACACTACGTGGTCTTGCCCAGCCTTGCGAATCTTGTAGAGCACTATGCTCCTCGTGGCGAGCTCGCTCACGAGCGTCACGGGCAGCGCGTACTTCATTTTCTAGAAGCCGCTCCATGAACTTCGTGCCATCCTGATCGTCGGGTGCGAGAACGATGTGCGTTCCAAGATCCATTTCGGTGAGGTTTCCGAATTCGTCGTACCTGGGATATACTAAGTTCTTGCCGCTCCAGCCAACGTACCATTTCTCGATCATTGCGTCCGTTACTCCGCGACTGTAGAGATTAGCCATACCTGCCCTATGCCGCTCCTTCGCCTCACGCTGAGCCTGTGCTTCGCGCTCTGCACGCATTTGTGCCTCGCGCAAGGCAGGGTCCGCGACGAGATGTGCTGAGCGTGAGTCGCCAGGTATTGGCAGAGGCATCGGTGTAGGGTGCATGTCCGGCTGTCGGTCAAGCATCGATCCATGCTCGTAGCCGCGCTGAGGGTGCATCGGCACCGCGTTGCCCCCTGCATGATGATGTGCTGCACCAAACCCAAGTTCAGAAGGCGCGCCAGACAAACGAGCCTCATTTCCCCGATGAGAAGGTGGAGGGTACTGCAATGGGGTGTGCGTTTCGGGGAGCTGTGCTTCCGCATGGCCAGGCGATCCATGTGCTGCCCACAGCTCTGCAGTGCTGGCAGAGGCAGGTCCCGGGGCGCGCACGAATGTCCTGCGTGCTTTCTTTGCTGCAGGCTCAGCTTGGTGATCCACAGCGACGGCCGGATACCAGCTCTCAAGGTGCAGAACGAGGCGCCTGGACTCGCTGACCGTGCTCCAGACTTGAAATTTGCTGATTGGCCGCTTCTGTGAGCGCAGGGTGGCTCGAACATCGAGGAACAGATTGGGATCTGTGACTCCACTTTCTCGTACTTTGACTTCCGCGTGCGGATACTTGCGCTCCGTCTTGACGCAGCAGAGGGGACAAAGCCATTTGCCCTCCGGCAAATCGGCGCTGTCGTCTACGAAGACGCAATTACAATGATACCATGCCATACAGCGGTCGCACGAGATCATAGCACCGGATTCTGCTTTCTTGCATATGCAGTAAACCCGCTCGCCATTGATGGGAACATAGCTGCCAACCTCTTCAGCGAAAATGAGCTTGGCACGCTTTCCGCGCTTGCGCTTGCGTGGGTCAATGTACTCTGGTTCAGCACTTTTGGCCTCCTCGCCGGGAACAGGCGCAGGATCATCGTCGTCGCCAGCTAGGGGCGCAGGCACATCATCGAGTCCAGAGAATGACGCAGGCATGTCCTCGTCGAAGGATGGCGGATGTTCGTGCGCTGCGGCGGCCGATTGGCCAAGACTCGGTGGTCGCTGAGCGTCTTTCGCAGTCGAGCCACTAGCATTGGGCGCATTAGTAGGCTCGCGAGAAGTATGCACTGCGTGTGGTGTAGCGTGTGAAGTCGTAACGCCACTGTTCGGCCGGGCCGCACTGGGCGAGGCTGATGTGGACTGGTTGGAGGGCATAGTCCTGGCGCCATAGACCGGGAGGGCCGGCCGACTAGTTGGAGAGCCAGCATATCGGCCCGTCTTCAGCACTGAGATATTTGGGCGTGGAATAATTCCAGGTACGGGATTTCCCTGGCCGTCGAGCCCGTGCAGATTGAAAAGGACCTGAGAAATGATTGCAACAGTCGGCGCACCGTTGGGCGCCGGCGGATCCACTGGGCACCCAATCGCCTTTCGAAGAATGTGTCGGAACATGAGCTCGTTTGGGCGATACGTCGGAGCAGGCTTTGGGACCAGAAAATCGTACGCGATGCGATGAAGACGCGTAGCTCTCTGTTCCGCTTCACCAAACGCGAGAAGATCTTTGGGAGGGAATTGGAAGCAGTGCGGCTCGTAGCGAGCATCGCATGCAAGCGCAGTGACGTCTCGCAGACTGATCGCACGGCGCTGCGCCAGAAGCTTGGGCAACTTTTGTGGCTGACAAACCGGACAAAACCAGGATTTGTGTTTTGGTATCTCTTTCGCCTCCATCTTGAGGCATTCCAAATGATACTTTGACATGCATTCCTCGCACTGCACTGTGTCGGGCCCATTGATGTCCTCGGTGGTCCGGCAGACGCACTGTCGCTGAGTCGCAGCGAAGCCGGATTCAGGGGGTACCTCATCGTCCAGCTCGGTGCTTTCACGGATCTGTTTGAAGAACTGATCAAGCTGAGCTGAAGTAGATTCGGGACTCATAGCGCGCTTCTGTGCGAACGTCGTTTCCAACAGATCTTGCAAGCGCTCGTTCCATTCGTCGTAAAGGTCGATGCCTTCGGCAAGAACGCGCGCTCCGCCAATGTGTAACCGGGCAGCCTTGATCAGCTTGACGATTCTCCGGGCCTCGGGTAGCTGATCAAGGTTTCCGATGGGAACAGCGTGGCCAGGCCTAGGCTCCGCCATCCCCTCGAAGACCGTCTCTACTAGCTTTTGGTATTCGCGAGCTTTCTTAAGTAGAGCCTCAGCTCGCTGATGAAGTTCAGGCACCACAGCTACTTCATTTGACGTCGTCGTGAGATGCTCCAAATCTCGTTGCCGAATGAGCTCTGTGCCATCCAAGACGTGAAGGGCGAAAGCTTTCCATTCGCGTCCAAGCTCTCGACGGCGAAGGAGATCTGCATGGTAGGCTTGCGTCTCAGGAATTCGCCCTTCCGCTGCTTCTGCTAGCAACTCCTCCACCTCATCCAGATTGATGAAATTGGCGTGAATTTCGTCCATTTCCTTGAACCACTGTCTGACGAGCTTGATACGACTTAGCTCTTGTAGCTCGGGTAAAGCTACGTTGATTGATTCGCCTTCGTCCAACATCGCCTGGATCGCATCCATAGGAGGTTCCTCGGAGTCGTCAGGCGCATCCATTTCCCTTTTGATTAGCTCAGCGGCGTCACCGCGCATGTGCGCAATCTGAGATACGAGGTCGCGAAGCTGACTGATTTCCGGAGCGTCGAATGGCAGAGCGATGGACTCTTCAAGCAGCGTGTACACCGCTTTGGGAGAGGGGGGCCCGTCCGTATCCCTGCTAGCGTCTTCCTTGCCCTCGCCGAGCGAGCGATGGTCTGGGCTGGCGCTGGCTTTCACAATCGCTCTTGAGGCTCGACGAGTTGTAAGCGAAGGGGGTCCGCCTATGGAGGCCGTCATTGTACTCTGACGCTTTCCTTTGCGAGTGATGATGGCAGTCGCGCTGTCGACCCATTCTTGCGCTTGCTCGATAAAGTCGCGCAGTTCTTCTACTTGGCGCACCGCGAAGGGCAAACGCTCTCCCTCAGCCAAAATGTTGCGCAGAGATTTCAGCGGTGGGCGAGCATGAGACCTCAGCAGCTTCTTGAATCGCTTTTCCCATTGGCGTGGAGCTTCAGCTCGCTCGCTTACTTTGACCAGCATGCTCTCTAGATTGTCATCAGAGAATCTCATGCGCAGCAACCGCTTTTCAGTGACGTCACTGCCATGGACCTCTTCGACGTGGTCTAGGCAGGCAATACTAGTAGTGCCCTCAGTAGTCACCTGAGCTAGGTAGCAGAAACACTTGCAATGTGTGCACTGCGTATCCTTCTCAGGTCTATCTTTATCGTAGACTTCTTCTTCGAGCATGACAAGGCGGTCACGCAAAGCCTTGCGACCTGAAATTTCACGATTAACAACCTCCGCGAACGCTGAGTGCAGCCTTGAGGACGGAGAGAGGACGACAATCAGAAAGGAAACGATTTGGTCATACGACCCTGACCACTCACCACATGGCCGTCTCCGTGACCTGGCTATGTTGGTAAATCGTTACGACTAGCTCATCGTGGGAGAAGACTGGCTGTTTGCTGAAGCGCTGGTAACGCTGCACGCATTCGAGGTCGCGGTCCAACCAGTCCGGTAGTGCAAAGTTGACAGCTTCATTGAGGTTGAAACCTTGGTTGAAACCGGAGTGATATGCCTTGGGAAAGGTGATAACCAGCTCATTTGCGCGTTGGTCGCAAGCATAGACCCTCACTCCTTCGCGCTTGAGCTTTGCTGGACTCATCATGGTGACAAGTTGGAACAGAAGATCAGGTGAAGTTTCGAAAAGGTCTGGAGCGGCTCGACGCATCGCTTCCTCAAATTTCTGAGCATCGACCCCGGGTATACCATACCAGGTCTTCGTGTCACCCCAGTGCTGATAGTTGATTGAGTAAGTGTAATGATCCTCGTTGTGCCAACAAAAGGTCGAGAACATCATTCCAACGTAGATCCAAGGCACGGTCATACCGGAAATGTCGGACTTGATATACCTCAACAGCGAGCCAGACAAGATTGGAAGATTGTTCAGGTTCCATCCGTCCCGCGCATACGAGCTGAGCGGGCACGTCTCGAGTGTTGGTAGCGCACTGTAGAGAGAAAGGATCACAAGTGAGCGAGCGCGGTGATTAAAATAGGCCGCCATCCAGCCGAGGAGACAATTCACCTGCCATGGGCGGTGGAGTGGATATCTGCGCCATATTCCACCTCGACGGTTTCATTAGGATCTTCTATGAGTCGCCAAAACTCGCGCTCGACGTCATCTTCCGCGACACGTAGATTAGTGCCCGCGATTGGTCGCGTGAGACCATTCGACAAGGGGCCAGGCTTGGCAGCATCGACGTCCTCGACGAACATGTCTGTGACTGATCCTTCGCGTTCCGGTTCTGCTGCAGGCTTCCAGATTGCGCCCGATCGTTTCGCCCACCAGTCGGATCGGAATGCGTCGGCGCGTTTCCAAAATGAGTGCAGTGTATGCGTCTCTCCGTCGTCGAAGCCAAAGTCATTGCCAGTGCCCACCAGACAGGGTGGGCAAAACCACTGGGACTTCGGCACAGAAGTCAAGGGTGGATCGAGGCAGTACATGTGGTAGCCTCTGTTGCACTCGTCACACAACAGCATCTCCATGCCGTCGTCTCCGCGCAGACAAATTTCACACATCTGGATGTTGTCCAGATAGCAACGGCTTGATCAGCGTCTCAGACATTGTCATTAGTGCTCAATCTACTCACTTGTTCTTCTGCGCCTGGAAGTAGGATCAAATCCTCCTCTGCTGCCTGGTGTTCAGCTCGGCTCATACCACCTGCGCCCGTGCTCTTCTTTCTACGTGTGCTCTTGCCATTGGTAGAGCCTTTGAGCCCAGCAACTACGGCGGAATGAAATATCCTACAAATCAATGTACAGTCGAAGCCCCACAATTTTGGCCCTCTACTCACCGGCAGTATAATCTGTACGACGTCTTGTGCTGCGCCGTTTGCTCGAGCTCGCGGCATCCGCATCTTCAATTGCCCAGAGCTCCCTTTCGGCAGGTGTGAGCTCGGCCCAAGTCAAAGTGCTTTGGCCGTCTGTAGGGTGCGCACTTTGGACGGAGGGAAAATCCGTCTGGTTCTGTTGAGAAGTAGGCATCGGCGTGCTGCGCATATTCAGTGCTGCGACTGCTGAGGCTGTGCCTGGAACTCCTGCGGGAGAAGTGTTGTTGGAAGCTTGCCGCACTTGCTCCTTCGCTGACAGCAAAAACTTCTCGAACGGATGAATGATCTTGTAGTAGGCTGCTTTGACTTGCGCAGCGAGATGATTTGCATCGCTATCGGCGTAGCCTAGCTTGCGCGTGACGTCTGACCACTTTCGATTCCTGACCACGGTCTCAGGACCCCCCAACTCAGCAACTATCAATTTGAGGCTATACAGATCCACGGGTCGCCGGTCCACAATTGGAATGGATACCCGTGCATGTCCTTGCTGCGCGTGGAACTTCTGCAGCTGCTCCTGGTAGTTGAGCGATGCTCGCGCGTCAGCGCTCAGCGAATTCAGTCGCTGCACACGGGTGCGAAAGGAGAAAAGCTGTGAAGAGAGCGGACCAGCATCGCCGCAAGTGCGGTGGTCGAGATCAGCCCAGGCTCTCCTGCGTTTTCCCTTCATATGCTCACCTCCTGGTCAAGCGCAAATTCTGGGTTCCAGCCTTGAGGGGGTACGATCTTGACTATACCATACTCTTTGCCACGCCCTCCATCTGAAGAAGCAACCCATTCGATGTATCGCATAGGATCTGCAAAATCTTGCCAGGTGGGATAAAATGTGGGCGCTTCTTCCAGCTCGAACAGCCGTTCTCGTTGGCGTGGAGGCGGGTGGCGTGGAGTGCTGAAGCGCGTGGGTATCGTTGAGGTGCCTGTGTATGGCTCGCTTTGTCCGTCTTCAACTTTCGCATTGTTGAAAGGCAGGGGCGGCAAAGTACCCTGCTGCACGATGCGCAGAGCAGCCTTCCGAGTGGGGTGCATTGCCGGATCACCTTTCACGTGTGCTGTGCTGAATGCAGAAGCATCAGAAGAGCCGTCCTTCCCATTTGGCAGCTCGTCGTCCTTCAATGATTGCACAATTACAACGAAGAGGGAGAGCGAAAAGGAGATGTGATTGACCGTTAATCCGTAGCTTTGAAAACGATTCGCAGCTCTCATTGACTCACTTTGTTCCTCCTCTTCATGCCACCCTCTTTCGGCGCTTGATAGTGTGGGTCACTATCCTCCGTGCGGTCGCCATTGAGTTGCGGAGCGAAGTCGCGCGACGTTATGAAAGTGGGCTCAATGCGTGCCAACTTGGCTGCGGCTGCATCGATAGCGGCAGCGGCAGCCTTTTGTATGCGGTACGATGTAGGCGTGGAAGCAGAACTAGCGTTGCCCTGATCCACATCGTCAAAAGTCTGACCTTGCCTCGAAGTCTGCGTGCGAGGACGACCACGCGCGCGACCGCCTCCGGGACGCGCTCTCGATGTGGACCCTCGAGGACGCCCGCGCGGCCTGCCTGAGCCACGTGCGGACGCATGACTGACGCTATCTGGCTCCTCATCAATCTGTTTGTTGGGAGCATCTTCGCTGGCCGCGTCTTCGACACCATCAAGATGAGCACTTGCTGATGTCTTGATGGACGCTGGAGGCGCCAAAGGCTCGCCGTAGGATGTAGAGGAGTAGAACGAAGCTGGTCGTGCAGAGGCAGAGGCGATAGCCGGTGTGGCAGGAGAAGGCTCGGACGCTAGAAGCCTTGTGGAGGGTCCCGCTTGTACTTCGCGGCTCGTGCCAGCGCTCGAGCTAGCAGATTGTGGAGTCCTTGGTGCTACTTGACGGGCGCTCTGTGCATCAGCCGAAGCTATCTTAGTCGGTGGAGATGTGCTGGAGGACAACACTTGTGGTCGATCAGAAGAGGACGAAACAGAGCGCGGTCCCTTCATTGCTGATGGCGTCGACGATTGCGCCCCCACTGCCTTGGAGACCTCAGCGATCGAGTAATGCTTCTCATGTTTCTGCGCGGCTTCTCCTCCCTGAGCATTTGCTTGAGCGGAAGTAGGCGCCTTGGGGGAATTACCACTCATAGGCGCAGCATTGTCTGCTGCTGCCTGTCCCGTATCTTGTGCACCCGTCATTGTTGCCTATACGGCGACGGCAAGCTGACACATGCGCAGGAAGAGCAGCTTCTCAGCTTGCCAAGGCAATGAGTCGAAGAGAGCTGACTCCGTGTCGAAGACGGAGCCTTGACAAGGACTGTGACCGACGACCACACGGCCGCAGGAATGGGACGATTTTCGAAGGGTGGCGTTTGTTTTACAATTAATGGATACTGGAAGAACGTGGGCTGTGGCAGAGTCAGTGCTCCTCTACACGCGTCCGATGCGTTCACGGGCACGGGCGAAGGCAGGCGGTGGATGGGTATCCTTGACGAGCAATGGCCTAGCACCAAAGATCAAGAATGTGGGGATGATGGAGAGCACGCAGCTGCTCTCGCGTACGGCTGCCCTGCAGCCATTGTTCCATATCCGTGCTGTAGGCAAGAGCAGCAGGGCGCATAATATAGCGATTGCGCGGCATGCAGCGTCCATCCACGCAGCGCACAATCATGAATAAATTAGTGCCCACCTCGCGCCCGCACGCGGCCTTTGCGTCGGCCTTCGACTTTTTAATTTGATTCTCAATTTAAAACATGGATCCTCAAGCACTAAATCAAGGACTAAAGGTTGTCGCGATGGGCGCGCCCAAGCCCGAATCTAATCAATCTTGAAATCAAGAATACTGATGAATTAGCCGCTGACTAGCGATCAAGATCTCATGTACATCTGTGATATGTAGTCGTGAGTCTTCAAGCAACGAATCAGTGCCGTATACAACATGCGGATGGCGAGCATCGTCCCACTTGTCGCAAAGAAGAGCTGCTGCTCACCTGTCTCAAGCGCCGTGCTCCATGAGCCTGACTCTTGCAACTCTCGCAACCCGCCTAGTCATTCCGGATTGCCATCGAGACCCGATCACAAAATAGCCGGCGCGTTGGCCGGTCACGTGACTCGACGGCCTTTCCACAGGCCGCAGCTTGTTTCACCTGAGCCTCACGCCAAAAGTGTGAAGAATGGTGCATCTGCACCACCATCTTACCTTTTTGGACTTCACTTGGAGGTTTCGTCGATGTGCGTAGTCTCTGAATGCGGTCAGCATGAAGGGTTGGGAGGTGTGGATCACTGTCTGTGTATTTGGCGTACTTCTTCGTTTTTACAGGCTTTAATTGGACCACGAATGCCTCCTCAGATTGAAGCGTGCGAAGGCATCGACAAGCAGATTTGGCCATGGATGGTCCCTTCGTTGGGGGCGTGAAGGCCGTTCTATGATGTGGGACTGATGAGTCTCGACATAGCTTTGCACGACTGCCCCACCGCCTTGCTATATCCGAGGGAGATGGTGCCAATCTGCTCTGGATCTCTCGCATTCAAGGCAGTGTGTGACGTACGCGGCTTGCGCCTTGTCCTGTGTCAGTAGCGCCTTGAAAAGCTTCACCACTGGGAGTGAGATGATAAGACACAAGCCGTCATTGAGTTCCCGGCTCTGTACGGAAGACCCGTGGTGGAGATAGATCGCCTGAACACTGCCATGGGAGATCAAGCCGGAGATGGGGAGCCAACCGCTGCTTTTGCCTCATGAACATGCAAGGGCGTGCCAAGTCTCTGGGTAGACACTGTTTGGCACATGACTGTGCCTGCAAGCGACAGGAGTCTCTGTCTCCGGCCGTACTCAATCTGTTGATGAAACCTTTTCTGTGTCTGTTGTGTGTGTTTCCAAGTGTCTGTACACCCGCTCGAAATCACATATGGGAAAGGTGCTTATGTTTCAGAACGAAGGGGGCAGAAGCTAGGGATATGAGGTCGTGACTTCAACGACAGAGCAATCACGTATCGATCCAGTCGTCAATGTGAGATATTTCCTCCCTTCAAGACGAGATAGGTGGTGGGTGAAATTCTCTTCCCTCAAGATCTGATTTGGCTGATTGCAGCCGCCGCCTTTGACATGTGACTTGCGCTGGTCCACTTTCGTTGGAGGGTCGACCATATAGCCGCACTCCATACCAGACCACGTGGCCTGATAACGCTCAGACTCACATGACTGCGATCGCATTCGCGACCTTTCGAAGATACCGGAGGGGACGGAAAGAGCTGCCGGTCGCTTGCCCTTGTTGGCAATCTGAGTGTCGCTGCAGCGCGTGTCTCACTCTTTTTGCATCAGAGACTGGGCGGCCGCGGCAGTATGTACGGTCGCTGCAAGGTTGGACATGAAAGAGACGCATAGGTCCTTTCCATGCTCTAGTCGATCAATCACAAATAACGAGACGATAGACGAGGTGGAGCAAGCCACATGATGCAATCTGCTCGTGCAAGTGCAAGTAGTGCATGCAGCGCACCTGCACCTCTGGAGTGACGAGAGCAAAGCCAAGACGCCTCATGCAACAAGCCTCTTGAAAGGACAGGCCGGTGAGCCTCGTGTGTCTGTATCTGACTACGTGAGACAAGAGAGGAAGAAAAAGTTATTGACGCTTGCCTGGCTCTGTTGCGGTACTCGGGCATTTCCGTTGAGTGGAGGGCTACGTAGCGTGCGAGGAGCGCGTGGCCTTCTGCTTATGCCGGGTTCAACGCCGAGGCGGAGGGGGGACGCAAGAGGGAGGCAAGTGCGCAATGCTACTGTCCCTGCTCGAAAGAAAGGCCAGCACGCAACGAGTCGCAGGCCGAGACTTTCAAGCTGCCGAGACAGCGGGGAGCGGGACTAAAAACACGGACCTTTACACTGCTTCACCCAACGCGGCTCCGAGCGCTGATTACCCTAGGCGTCGTGCGGCGGGATCGTAGTCGCTCTCAGACTAGTCGGAAAAGCGCGCCAACTCTTCGCGTGCCGCTACTGCTGTGTATTTCTGCGCAAGTAGTGTCCTACTACCACTGTACCAGTATACTGGCAGACTGTAGCACCCATGGCGGGCGGCGCCAACGATTGTGACTGACTCGGCCATGTCAAGCACACATCCTGAATGGACGATCTGCCGCTACAATAGCATCGAGACTAGACTGGCCAGGGGCTGGAGCGTCGCCACGGCAATCTTGTACCACGCGGCCAGTTTTGAGCCCATGAGCAAACAAGGCAACAAGCCTCCCTCGCTTGTCCAAACTCGCGGGACCAAATGAGAGCGTCTCGAACCTTAGCAGACAGCCGCTATCTCTATCATATACAGGCGCAACGCCGCTCAAAACAGCAGCTCAGCTGTCCTCGATCGCGATGCAGCACAGGGATTCCGCACTACATGACGCTCGTCCTTGCTCTTGCGCACCCACTGTGACGGAGTTGCTGCGACACCAGCGCAGCTCTACAGTTTCCAATTGCGTCTCTATGTCGTCTGCCCCTTCCAACTTTCGAACCAAAGTACGCAGCTGCAATGTCTACTTCGGATGCAAGAGGCCCGCTCTGCTAGCTTGCATGACGTTCCAACGCACGCCTCAGACAATCGAACGTGGTCCCCGGAAGCGTTCGGATAGAAGCATTCTGTAATGATTCGTTGCGCTTCTGGTACAGCAACACTTTACAATGAACACCCGTGGTCCTGCTGAAGCCCGAGCTGGGGGACCAGCATACGCTTGGCATTGCACAGCTGGCGTGCAAAGGATACATACAAATGTACACTCCGATTGTCTCCTCATCCTGCTGACCATGAAATATCATTCGTGGACTCGCCCAAAGAGGGAGCGCTTCCATTCCTCGGCAATCACGGCGTATTGCAGGTGCTGAGGTGAAGTGTGACCCAGACGGCAATGCAACGATAGAAGAGCTCGCGCACAATCAAGCCACGGTGGCACATCTGTGTCGGAGCCGAGCGCTTACTGTTGGCCCACAATAGTTCGCGCCCGCTGCGGTGTTCCGGCCAGTCTGAGTGCAGCGCTCACAGATCATGGCCTGATGCGGAGCTTCTGCGAGCGCAAGAAGAGTTGCATGGGGCGGGACACCCAGAGCTGCATCATGTTCGATTCGTACCAAAGAAATCTGATTGGCCTCTCGCAGCGAATGCCTGATCCCACACGAGTCGGAAATCACACAGACTGGCAATGTGTTTTACGAGCGGATTGACAGCTGAAGATTGTGAAGGGAGAGCGCAATTGGGCCCAAACTATGGCCGAAAGGTGCAGGACAAAAGCTCACGGGTCGCCTCTCTCAGCCCCGATGGCTGTGCGAAGTGCTTATTGTGAATGCATGTCCGACTTCTTCGGCCGCGCGCGCCATACACGATTGTGGCGTTCACGATCACCTGCTGGCGTTTCTGTCGACCGCGTGCTTAATCAGCGAGCTGATGCCAGACATGTGGACGATCGGTCGCGCGGGGGAAGTTGCAGAACGACGGAGCCAAAGGCAATCGACAATCAACTCTTTAAAGCTCTTTCACTGCACGAAAGTGGCAGCCATACCTGTATGGCGGCATCGCAAGCTCGCTCACCGCGCCACATGTAAGGGAGCAGCGGAAAAGAACCTTACTTCGCGGATCCACCTGCGCAAATTCGCTTTGCGCACGCGCGCAACACATGAGCTCGAACTCCGCTGCATTCATGAGCCTGGGCACCGAGATAAGCCCGCACCACCAGCTATACAGTAGTAGTAGTAGCGTAGGATAGTGTTTGGAGAAGTTTCCCGAAGCTGCACCCCCTTCTCCCACTTTGACGGTTCGCCAAGGCGCTCTTGATTTATGATCGTGGCCGAGTCCAGCGTAGTCGAGGAACGAAAGACCGTAATTGGATTGCACGTCGGCTACGGCGGGATTGCCGCTACGGAAGGGCTTGATGCACATTCATCAACGCAATTGATTGGGAGATCGTCGATCAATCGATGTACTCTGTAACAAGGGTGACAGGCGTCTGCAGAGGTGATTGCCAAAAGTGTATCTACATGTAGTATGTGACTTTCACGATGCTGCGGAAGACCTCGTGAAAGGACCGATAATGCGTGTCTCTGCGTCCCAACTAAAACCTTGGCTTGTCACACTCATGAGGCTGCATGACGCGCGGTCGATTGGCTATGTGCAACATCATTAGAACAAAACCCAAGGCTACCTGTCCGCCCTCACCGCCAATGATATCTTCTGCAGGCCTCAAAGCTGCGCTCGAGCGCGACAGCCTGGTGAGTCTCGAGTTGCGAACCGCGCGAGCCAGGATAGACTGATTCCCGCTGGTCCTACCCCAGTGGGATGGAATGGGCTTGACTGCAGCAGCTCGGCTACGTCGCTGCGAACCAGCGCGCAAATCTCTGCAAGCCACAGTCAGAGTCGGAATAAGTCAGGCGTCAGAGCAGTCTAAGCTAGCCGATTGAGTCTGCAACTGGAACGTTAGTCCGCTGAATTCGACCACCGACAAAAGACATGCAGTCACAGTCGCGCGTAGGATGCCGTCTTTATACTCAAGACTCGCTACAGACTGTAATCTGAATGTGCTGTGGGCCGAGGCGACTTGGATTGCGACCGCTGGTACGACGCTGCCAGATCTTGACGGTGGCTCGGACAATTGTTTCTGAGCAGGCGGGCGAACTCTAGGAACTCTGAGCAGGCCCTGATACAGTGTGCACTCGCTGGCCGAAATCGTGCAGCGAGCTACAGCTCAGCACAGGCCCCGCGCAAGCTTTCAAGTCCCTTTGCAGCCTCCAGCAAACATTCTTCGCGGCTCCGCACATTTGGCGACGCTAGTGCTGGGTTTCTGGGTCACGCTGCTACTGTCAGGCAAAGCACGAAAAAGCCCGAGGCGCGTTATGCACGGTGCCAGCGGGAGCTTGCCCATGCGTGGTCCTGTGCGTCGTGCAGAGGCTTGCACCATCCATCCACCTCGAACAATGTTCGTCATTTCGTCGAAGCTTCACCTGAGTGTCATGAAGTCAGACTGTCCGGAGAAGCAAAGACTGATGCAGTCGCATGCGATCTCGATCACTCATCTCTGAGACCATCGCAGCCCACTCCCTTTACGGATACGTGGATCGCTCTGTATGCTGCCCGAGACGATCCCATGCACCGCGCAACTCCTGTGCAGGCAAGACTTTTATCGCCAGAGTCCGGTCCAAGCGCGATTGACCCTGGCCAGCCCTCGTCCTTTGCGCAAGGAAGCGAGGCTGCTGGCTCACATCAGCCCCGAGAAAAGTAGTACCTCCTCGCCGAAGTCTTGCTCTTTGCCTCCAGACGAGGACTTGTGCAGCCGCAACCCACCACAGCCACTCTGCCCATTGCAGAAATTACGTACTCTTGACCAGCACACACCACGACCTGGCGACCCAACGGTACGGTTGAGCGGGATCTAGCGCCCCCTAGCTATGAGGTCTACCGCCAGCATCTACGAACACACAGCCGTACCATTGAGCTTCGTTCCGCTGCGACTTCACCCGTGTCAGCTGTCGAAAGCACTGGGCTTTCCGGCCTGTCGCAAGTACTGGAGTACAGACGTGTGCTTGTCCATTGCTGTTGCACAGATTCGCATCCCTTCGTACCTTATCAGAAATCCTCCATATCCCTTGTCGCCTGCCTGTACCTTGCTATTTTACTCGACTCAGATCTCACCTCTGTCGAACCCCGCGTGCGATTGTCCGCTGCAGCTTGGCGAAGTTGGGGCTAGAAGAAGTCGCGTTGCGCGTCCAGCGCTGTAATCTTCGCGTCCAAGTTTTCCCAACCCTTGACACTCCTTCAATCACGTCCTCATCGACGGCACTTCGAGATCATCTGTACGATCAAGAGAGCTCACAAGGGGGACGACACCGACTTTCACAAGGGCAGCACACTGTAGTCTTTGCAAACAGCAAGCACTTTGGACATAGCGACGCATTGTGTACATCCTCACAAGTCCCGACCCACAACTCCAGATTCTGGATCCCTCTTTTGCTGCACCTTCGCCCTGTACCTAGTGTATTGCCTTCAGCGGTCAGCTCCCTCCCCACCTTCATCGCGCCGAAGCATTAGCTAACACGGTGAGTCTTGATCTGCGAGAATCCAGGGCGGCCGCTCGAGACATCTCTGAGCTTCGCGGCAAGGCGCGGGATAGGATGCTGACCACCTAGAGCTTCCATTCCGGCAGGCTGCACTACTCTTGTGGACTTCAACACCTCCCGACGCTTGTGTGTGGACTATCTTTGCGCAACCCGAGTACATCGCTACCAGCAGCGCGTGCTTTCGAAGATCCTCCGGCCGAGCGGTGACTCGCTCTTGATCTGCCCTCGTACCAATCACTAAAGGCAGCATTGGCGCGTGCTCCCCCTATACAGACCTCCACCACTACATGCTTTGAGCCGCATTGTCTTCAATTGTAGAGCTCGCCAGCTGGAGGCGCGCGATCAGGCTTAGCTGTGCCTGTTCAAAGTCTTCCTTGTAAGGATAGCCTCCAGCCGCATCAAGGATCAGGGGACCAATGAGCTGGCCACAGCGCAGCCCGCAGAGAGGCCATGAAGCAGAGCGGCGACTTCACGGGGCTTCGCCGAGTCTTCGAGACGACCAAGCACCGGCGCCGCCAAGTCGACCTTCCGAAAACACCTTTGCGTCCACAAGCTCCACTGGTTCGGAGTCGCGGCCACCTTCTTTTCGGTCCGATGCGTCCTCTTTTGAAGAGACTCCTGGACGTGGTGGTAGAGATGCCTCGACTACAGCCGGATCTTCCCGACGTGACCTGGAGGCTTTGCGACCGGCTCCTCCAAGCCACCACTTTTCGCCTTACCCGCCGAGACCTCCAACAATTGGTCGGGCTGACCGTAGCGGCGAAGCTCGCCCCTTACCATTCGGGGACCCTAGCGATCACCACCAATCGATTGCGACCACCTCACAGCCAGGGCGACCCCGCGCCTACAGCGATCTCGGCGCTCCAGATTTCGATCATTCGCTGCACTATACCGCTCGTGAGCCTCCAAGGGACGTCTATGAGAACCACCCAGGCTCGCTTCATCGGTCTCAACGCAATTCTCCGCCCAACCTCTCCCGTGCTCGCGAGCCTCCCTCTTACTCTGCAGCCCTAACAGGCCCAGAGCGGTACACACCCTCAAGCGACGCGTTCTATCCGAATCTCCGGCACGGCGGATCAAGTCAAGATGCACGCTACTCGCCTCCGAGGAGTTCCTTTGCTGGACCCAGAGTAGCCCCACAGGTAGGCCCCATCATGCCACCAAAACCTGTGCAAGCGTCCTCCCAGTACGCAGTGAGGATCTCGCATACCAACTCTCCGGTTTGCAGCAATTGCCAAACAACTGCAACTCCTCTTTGGCGCCGAGACGGCCGAGGTGGTCTGTTGTGTAAGTGCTCTCATCGTGTGGCTGACACCCATCAGCTACTGTATCTGCCGCTCATTCTTGAAGCCCTTACTTCTCTCAAAGGCAACGCCTGTGGTCTTTTCGTCAGGGTGAAAGGTCGTTCGAGACCAGTGAGGTGAGTCTGCGTGCGTCTCTCTAGACCTGCTGCCTTCGGTAGACCTTGCTGACGCGTAGCACCGCTTGTGCTGATGGTGACGGCAGCCTGAAGACAGACGTGATCAAGCCCCGAGCGCGGCGCAGCAAGCTCCCCGGTGGTGGCCCAATTCCGGCGGGCGACGCTGGTCCTTCACGCGTCGGCGTCAATCCTCCGGTACCTGGTGATGGGCGGAGTAGTGTGGCCGCGGCGGCTCACTACGACAGCGACATGCGACCTGGTGAGGGTAGAGCGATTGAATCGGATCGCTCCCGCTCGAGTTATCGCAATGCGGACCTCCCTCCAGCTCTGATGAACGACTCTCCACGCTAGTGAGTAAGGTCAGATCCTAGTCTTTTACCTCGTAGGCCGAGTTGACGCGGCTCTATCTGCCAGTCACAGTCGGGAACACCAGGCTAGCCGCATCGACCTGGAGTCGACTGCTCAGTATCGAGGCGGAATCAGTGGCATGCCGATGGTACCCTCCTCGTTCGATCGACGCACCCAGACGCTACGAGGTCCGGTCTCTACTTCCTCGCGACCAACCGAGCTCGATAGTGACTCACGAGACGCAGTGCATCCAGGCGCACATCGTTACAGCGCAGGCCGCTTAGAGCCGGCTCGAGGCATGGGTGGTCAGGGCCTCCGACTGCCCTTGAGCTCGCCAGACCAGGAGTCCGCCTCGAGGGTTTCAGCTCTTGTCAGCGAACGACATCAGGCACCTTGGCGGCAAGCTGAAATATCTGCGGCGTCGCAGCTCTCGCCAGCGCCTCAGTCTTCAATGCACTCAGCCTCCCCGAACTCGTTGCCAACACCACCGCGCTTTCTCAGCCGTTTGCCCCCCTTGCCGTCTCCACCTGCACCAGGGCCTTCGGCTTACGGCCAGCACCCAGCCATCCCTCCACGACTGGGTGCTTCTCGCGGGGATGGCGCTTCCATTGTCAATACTGATCCCAAGGATCGGTATGATCGATATGAAGCAGTTCGCCGACCGCTGTCCTATCCCTCGGGAATGTCGGATCGCCCAGAGATCGACATGACCAGCATGAATGGAAGTATCACTGCGCCGCCACTAGAGCGACTTCCACCACTGTTGCAAGCACTTGGGCGAGCTCCCTCGGATTGGCCAATAGAGCGCAACGATGCCCGTGGGTCAGGCGCGCGAAGGGGAGATGCGTCGCACTCACCGGGTGTGTCGCCTCTCCTCGCTGGGAATCCGGAACATCGGGCTGATCAAGCCAGTGATGGGAGGTCGCCTCTGATCATGCCACCTCCTCCAATGCGCGGCCCGATGAGGGCGGATGGAGAAGGCACCACGCTCCCCCCCTTGGCACTGCTACACCCTTCCGCTCGTGGAGCTCCGCACTATCGTAGCCCCGAGAGCTCTCAACCTCACGACCAGCAGGTAGACCCGAAGCTCTTTGACGCGCCCAATCGTCGATCTTGAACAGCAACGCCAGTCACAGCCCTCGCGGCATGCGGTGCCCTCATATAGCTGCGTCGCAGAGGAGTCGGAACGCAGTCTATCGGCGCTCCAGAGCGACCGCTGCTGCTTCAAGGGGGCAAGTGCCGCGCAGAGTCACGAGTACTGGGATGCAGTCCTGCGGACCTTGGCGGCGCAAGGCATTTGCGTCTCAGATGCAAGAGGGCTGAGCTGCGGCCAGCGTCGAGAAGCTTGTCGCTATGATTAGGCCAGGCACATCGAGCCGGTCCTTTGCCGGCTTCAGTTGGAGACTCGTGACTGCGGCTTGCAAATTAAAGATGCGAACATGAAAGGCGCGCCTGCGAGCGCCGCAGACGCCTGGCAAGCGTAGGCTGGCTGGATGGAGCTGGGTGGAGTGGTGGATGTGCGGGATTGGAAGAAGAACCGAGCGCTGTCCGATTGTCGTGTACACTATGTGTTACGTCCAAAGCAAGAGCAATGCAATAAAGGATCGCATGGCTTGATACTGGGTGGTGATCGCAGCCAGACGTGCTGTGTGGCCTAGAAGCCCGAATGCGACACGACTCATTTAACACCTCGCGAAGTGGCCGTTGCAGTCTACGCCTGCCATCAGGAGACGCGTCCGGCTTCCTCTTTCTTTGTCTCCCTCCCACTCGACGTGTCGAGTGAAGAAGAGTAAGTTCGCTTTGCAGCGAGCCGCAACCTAGGTCGGGGTCCCCGTTCCCTCGTGCCTCCTCGCGCCCATGCTCCAGCGTGTATGAGGTTCGTGGGTTGGCGACCGCTCGCGGGGGCTCTGCGCGTCGACTCGCTAAGTACCGGCACTGCCAGTCAGAATAAAGTGCGTCAAAACAAAGGGTTCCTGTCGTCGTCGCGCCCCGCAGGTGAGTACAGCGAGCGAACAGTCGAGGACTACTCACAATTGTCCTCTTGTCAGCCTTGGAGATCGCTCCGAAATATCGTCGTCGTACTGCCTGGTAGTATGTTCTTTGGATGCTTGCAAGGTCCTGGCCGGCGAGTAGCATTGTATGGTATAGATGCGGTATACCGGGACTAGGCAAGCACAACTTTGGCATCCTGCTGTCTGAGTTTGGGAAGAAGGTCTGGCGAGGTAGGAGTGGGTCCATGAATCCCACGGATGTTGTAAAGGTATCTTTACTTCCTTGAGTGATTTGGATGTGGAGGTCGGTCTCACGTTCACCATACATGACAAGACGAAAGGAGGCCCCCTGTGCACGCTAAGGTGAGAGGCAGGGATTTCGCATGTTCTTCCCAAGGTTGAACGCGACGGCAGTCGAAGCTTTGCACCGCGCTGAGGCGCTGAGCAGGGCGCTGTCCTTTACAACACTCACAATCATACTCGATATACACACCTTCTCAATTCCACGCTCACTGCGCATCTTCAGTCTTTTTCACCTAGGCGAGCAGCTCGGAGCTCCAACCTAGTACTTTTCTGTTTCGAATCGTGAACAAATAGAAACACTACAAGAACAAGCAGCGAGTTTTGAGTCAGAAGAGTCAGAGTGTGCCCAGTCAGTGAGTCGAGAGAGAGGCTGCAAAATGCAAGCACTGAGAAAGTTTGAACAACTTATTTTGGCGCCAATTCGAGCTTAGCGTAGCCATTGCTTCCTTTCCCCGTCCTGCTTGTCAAATGCTGGGGAATGTGGGCACAGCACGGATGTAGCGGGACTCTCTCACACATTGATTGGTCATTGCAATGGTGAGTGATCGACGGAGGCGTGGCTACTGTACGAGCTCGGCTAGACCGAAATCGAAATTCGCGAAAAAGGATGAGCTGTCACACATGCACTTTAGCTCTATCAAGACGCAAAGGTGCCCATGCAGGGGCTGTGAGGCACAATCAATGATTGCTGCAGTAGCAACGATTCATGCGGGGACGGACTCACTCAAACGACACAGACTGTGCGCTTTGATGCCAGCGTCGTGTTTTGAAATTTGGCCAGCAGCAAGGCAAAGCATCAGTCCTCCTGCAGAAGAGCCAAATCATGTGTTGAAGACTCGAGCATCCATACCGGTGCGGTCAAGAGTTGTGAGTACACTGGTCATTCTCTCTCGAAGCTGGATGCGCAGAGAAAGGAGGCCGCGAACTTTCGGCGTGACGTGGACGCCCACTTGACTGTGACTCCGATCGAGCCATAAAACGCCACGTGCTGGGTCGCGAGGACGTGCCTGCATTGCCAGCACAGTGCATCCGTGAATCGGGCATGTATTGATTGCCATCTTTGGTCCCTTTATGCGGCGTGCTAGGCCCGCTGATCAAGGAATGCAGTCACAAGTCACAAGGGGTATGGGTACAAAGCGTGTCTCGCGAAGAAGCGCTACAGGATGTGCATTTTCGGGGCCAGCAGCCGGCGACCCATAGACAGTGGACACGGATCGCCACAGCCCTCTCAAGAATCACCGCTCTTAGTCCCCATTCGCGGAGCGGTTTGCCCTAAAGGAACGACGATAGTCACAAGTTGTAGCAGTGAGGTTGTGCAAAGTGATGTGTCAGCCCAGCGCAGCCTGCACCAAGCGCCTGCAATCGTGAGAACTGCGTGCTCCCATCCGAAGACAAGACTCATTGTGTGATCAAACATCAAATCGGGTAGCCTAGAGCAGCAACTGCTCCTTCGGTCCCCCCAGTGCTGGGTCAGAACGCTCCCGCGAGAGTCTCGAGGAGAGAAGCGTCACATGAGTAAGAACTTGGGTAGGCAAATGGACAGAACACTTTGTACGTGTTGGGCAGCGATTCAGAATGCACTTGCATAGCATCACGATGCGATTCACATGGGATACAATACAGTGTAGGGGAGCTGTAGCTCCGCATTCGCCACCTCTGTCGAAATGCTTGCATGCGAGGGGCGACTAGCCACCAGCCTTCCAGTACGCAATGTCACCATCCACCATCTAAAGGCGCAGAATTGGAAGGACGATCAATCACGAGATGAAGTCGGAAAAAAAAAACGGTCTGGGGAAGCAGCACTACTCACCTCGTAAGTCTTGCCCTTTTGGTTGTACTTGCCTGCTGCTTTGACTGCTCCTTCGTTACCGTGCTCTTTGAGATCGTCAAAGCTCATGATTTCACCACAAACGAACTTTTGCTCGAAGTCTGAGTGGATCACACCGGCGGCCTGGGGCGCTTTGAGACCTTGTCTGATCGTCCACTGCACAACCCACGACAAAGTGGAGGTCAGCAAAAATGCTCGGGCTGAGGCACACTACGAGGTGCGAGACAAGTGTATGACTCACAGCCCTGACCTCATCAGGTCCACATGTGTAGTACTTGATCAAGTCAAGTCCCGAGTAGCCCGCTGTGGTAATCTTGCCGAGGGCACCAGTCACGTTGGGGCCAAGTTTCTTGAGCTCTTCGGCCTCAGCGTCAGGGCTGCCGAGAGCGAGCAGACGTTCTTCCAGAGCGACGGAGAACGGGATGAGCTGATCACCCTTGTTGTTATCCTGGATCCACTGGTGAATTTTGGGCAACCTGAAGAGAAAATTCGGACCCCGTCAGCTCCCTGGGACACGGAAATACTGTTTGCAACGCAAGGACGCACCATTTGTTCTTCTTCCTGACGTAGTCCTTCTCGCTCAGGTTGACGAGGTAGATGACGGGCTTGGCAGTCAACAGCTTGAGGTCGTTCAACAGGTCAATCTGCGTTTACTTTCGGCGTCAGCAAATTGCCGCCAGGTGTGCATCGCCTTGGCTCGAAATGCGACCCAGTCCTTCTGCACCGCGTGTCAGATTGTGTATCTTTTCTCATAAGGGTTGATGGCCCCTCGACGAGCTGGGTTAGATAATTCGAGGGTCTCAAATAGCGCCCTCTTATTCATCATGCGTGTGTGCTGATCTGCCATCGACGTGCCTTGCCTCGATGCCGTTCCAAGTCTCCTTTTCGCCCCCTTTCGGCATTCAATTGCGCTGCACCACTCACCTCTTTGTTGCCCCAGTCTCCCTTTCGCACATCCGTGTTGTCTTCTTGCAAAAGCTTGAGGGCTTTCTGCATGGTGGCAAGATCTTCCTCTTTCCTCTTCTTGTCCAGACCCGTCGCACCTCGGACGACTCTGGCTTGAGCCTCGATGCCCTTCTCCACCCATTCGATGTCCTTTAACCTCAGCTCTGTGCTAATGATTTCCATATCTCTCAGAGGGTCCACATCGCCTTCGACGTGAATGACTTCTGCATCGTCGAATGCGCGGACCACCTGAAAGATGCCGTCCACAGAGCGAACGTTGGACAAGAACGCGTTTCCTAGACCGGCACCGGTCGAAGCACCAGCAGTCAAGCCTGCGATATCGATGCAGGTCAAGAAGGCAGGAACCTGAGATTTGGGCTTGTATTGGTCGACAAGCCACAGGAAGCGCTCGTCGGGCAGCGGCACGCGGGCTTCTTCTGGCTCAATGGTAGCTGCGAATGGGCGAGATCGAGGCCTGACAAGTCAGTATAGAGCAGTGCGCCGCAGCTGGTATAGGCATGTTGTTCCCGAATACACACCATATGGGAAATTTGCGCTCTTTCCGAGGTCGCACTTGGCGATGACGTTGAAGAGACTGGATTTGCCTACGTTGGGCAGACCGACAATGCCCATCTTGAGGTTGTTGGATGGTCGCCCGAGCTTGGCGCGCTCACTCGCGGCGAGCTTCTTGGGGGGCATCCTGGCTGGACGTGTAAGTTTCTTGGCTGCAAGTGAAGCGGTCGGTCTCAAGAATCCTTGCGAACGTGACGAATCGCTCAATGAAATGCACCTCGCTTGGGAAGTGATCGGATGTATGCGACAAATGCCGGATCGAGGCCTTGGAGCGCTTAGTCTGAGTCCAAGCGTGACAGCTTTATGTCGTACGCCGCTACAGACCATCTACAGATAGGATCTGGCTATGTTCACGATTGCTTCGAGGTACGAAGCAACTTGCCAAACAAGAGCCGTTGCCAGAGTGGCATTCGCTGCCTTTGACGTTTGCAATACCGTGCACGGCAGCTTGATGGCCTCGCTCGCCTACACAGCTGCATTCGCCATGGACTGCATGGAAGAAGCTTTGACCGCGCGCACAACAGCTGTGTGGCTTCGTCGGGCCTGAACGCCACGTGGCTACTGTCCTGACTTTTTAGCGCCAAACGCCGTCCTGCTACAGCATGCGCGATCGAGCAGGCGGTCAAGGACTATCACGGCAATCAACGTGCCGCGTCAAAGCGACGGCTGCGCGTGTGATGCGTGCGGAAAGCGCGTGCGGATGCTGTGACAGCACACACGCGATACTACAGTACACTACTACTAGAGCAGCTAGGCAACGCCGCGAACGCGACGGAGGCTGGTGTAATGCCGCACCTACATCCCTGCACCAGAACACCTCAAGACTTGAGCCCCACGCGAAAAAAAGCAAATCCGAGCCGAAGCGCGCTGCTTGCTGTACGTCGCACGCGGCGAGACGATGAGAGCGCGGCTGGGCGAGTGAGGCAAGCGCAAGCCTCCACCTCCATATACGGCGCCGCGACCGCTGAATGCCCTTTCCCACCAGCACGCTTTCCCTCCAAGCTTCGCATCACGCGCGACATCGGCCCCGACCGCTGTCCAGAAGAAGGATCACGTTGATTCACGAATAAACAAACAACAGAGAAGCAGACCAATCTTCGCCCTCACAGCAGACGCTGTCTGGTGGGATCCGCTCGACACTTGGTACACTGCTTGTTGCGTCCACCAGGTATCGCGTTGAGCGCGAAAGCCTCGCCCAGTGGACCAATCGCAACTGACGTCGTAGCGTATGCTGCCCATCGTGACTTCGACAACGCATTTATAGCAAATGACAAGCCGCAGCTACATCATTAGGATAACTGACTACAACTAGCTCTGTTGCAAGACGGATGACAGTCGCTATCAGTCGGAGACGATCAAATTCACGATGAGCGACGACGCTGCAATGCCTCCACCCCCGCCGCCGGCTAACTTGGCTACAAACGACGCGGATACAGCCCAAGATCAGCAGGAAGTTGGGCATGCAGGAAGTCCTGCGGGGAGTTCGATTTTACCGAAGCGAGAGAATGGGGCCGGACCTCGCGAATCCTCGGGCAATGGACGTGCTCCATCCAAAAAGCAGAAGAGAGGCTCCGTTTCAGGAGGTGCTGCCAGCTGCACAAATGGCAAGGACAACAAGGCTGATGCAAGCACTGGAGATGGGAGTGCGCCAGCTGGGCCACCTTACATCTGCCCCACCTGCTCCACAAGCTACTCGCGCTTGGAGTACCTCAGGAGGCATGAGCGAAGACGTGAGTGGTACAGCAGGCGGGCACACCCTGCGAAGTGGTGCGCGGATTGGCCCAGCATCACGCTAAGTACTTCGCATTTGGCCTCCATGTCGTCGGTATGTGACGTCAGATGCCGACGAGCGACCTTTCGTGTGTGATTGTGGAAAGGGCTTCTCAAGGAGGTGAGACAGGCTCCCTCGCTGTGCGGCCATCGACTAGCGACGTGCTCACACAGTCTTCCCGTGACGCCATCGATGCTGTTACAGTGATGTGCTGTCTCGCCACAAACGTCAGTGTCCTGTGGCACTTGGTCACGCTCCACCAGAAGATCCAGCCACCGCTGGAACTTCGAAGCAGACGAAGCCCAGGCGCTCGAACAAGAAAGCAGCTGCGAATACCACGTCAGCTTCTTCGGTTGAGGCGCCGGCAAAGCGCGAGAGTGACGATCAACAACCTCCAGGCTTGACTCAGGAGATGTCCATCGCCGCACACTACGACGCGGATGCTTCCGCTGCTGCTGGAGCTGCTGCAATCGCGGCAGCTGCAGCAGCGGCTCACGCTGCCTTGGGTGGACCTCAACCCAACAGCTTCCCCTTCTCAGGACCATCTCAGCAGCCTAGTCTCCTTCCGCCACCCGTACCCTACGGCGCAGAACAAATATACGAGCCGCGTGGCTATCCGTCAGGTGCTGTCAGCGAAGTTGGCGGCCCCTTGCACTCGCAGGTCTCGGCCCTGAATCCTTCGCATTCGCAGCTGTACCCACAAAGCCCCGATTCCAACCACGGCGGCTTGGGTAGCCAAATGTCATCCCCTCGCTTTGCATCACGCGACATGATACGGCACGGAAGTGGAAGCGGGTCGCGATTTGGTCTCCGCAAACCTTCCGCGTCGCTCGATGTCTTTGGTAGGTCCACGAACAGCGCTAACGCGTACAGCGGAGATTTCTGGGACGCCATCGAGGCGGCAAGCAAAGGCGAGGGAAGGTCTAGCCGTTCCAACACGCCAAGCCGGACGAGAACACTTCCGCCAAGCAGCTTGCCAAACTCCAATTCGACAAGCATGCATGCCAGCGGCGCATTTCCCTTCTCAATGCCTGGCAACGAATTCGCGCAAGCGCCCCAGAGCGCATCGGCCATGAGCGTCGGATCCCGTGCACCAGCACCGAATCTTGCGACTTTGGGCATCGACGGAGGCCCGCCTCCACCTGCGCCTGCTCCAGGAATTAAAGAAGGGCAGCGGTTCGGCGTCAATGGGCCTCTCAGTCCCTTTGGCTCCATCGCGCTTTCGAGCGGAATGAGCCCATACCTGTCCGCCTTCTCGAATGCTCGAGACACGCCACACATGTCGTCACCCAGCAGGGGAGGACCGGGCACTCCTGGAGGTAGCGCCAACATCTTCGAATGGACAATGCGTCCGCCCGCAAAACCCTCAAGTTCCCGTCGAGACAGCTCCAGCACTCCTTCTGGTAACGCAAAGAGGAAGCGGGAAGACGGCGAGACAGAAGATCCTAGAGCAGCGTCATCCAACCTCTCCGGTGCTGCATCCGTTGATGAGTCTTCTTTGGAAGCGGATGCAGCACAACTTTTGGAGACGCTGCGTACTCTTAGAAGCGGTGGTGCTGCGTCGACGACCAGCACCAATAACGATGATGCGGATGCGCAGCGCAAAGCTCCGGGCCCTTCAGGTGCTATAACACACACAAGTGCCGGTGGTGTTCCGACTATTGCGGAGCCGCCTGTCGCACCTTCGTCTTCTGGCGTCTCTCATGATTCCGCCCTCCCTCACGCGCCTCATGAGTCAGAGACGAGGAGTTACGGCCCTGAAGCGTTCCTCCTTCGACTGCAAGGCGGAGCTCAGGAAGCTCGCGCAGGCTTGCTCGGACCAGACTCGGCCTATTCGAGGGGCATGCTTGGCACTCCGATGGCGAGCACTGCGGGCGCCACGCACCCTTCGGCGGTCGTGACGCAGTCTCCGGGCACCCAGTCACTCTGGGAGAGCCTCGGCTTGAATGCCGTGTCGAGCACACCGATGAGCGCAAGCGCGAGCGCTGGTGGCAGCAACCTCGGTTGGCTAATGTCACCAAGCATCCAGCAGCTCATCAGCACCTTCGCAGGCACGCCGACCCCGGGAGACGGAGGCAGCTACTTCTCGGGCGCTAACATCGAGCCGTCGTCGCATGAGTATGAGGATCCGCCCATCGAATCGATTGAGCCTTGGCCAGAAAATGCAGGAGAACGAAAGAAGGATGCGGAAGCATCCGCTGTGCAGCGCACAGACTCTCAACAAGCAGCGGCAAGACGAGCGAATCCGACTACTATGGCGCTCGAGAGGGTGTTTGCAGACATCAGCAATCCCTTCTACATCCCCCCAGATCTGTTCCGAGCGTGTTACGCTATCACGCACTGGCAGCTCCCTTCCCTGACGCGTTTGAGCATGCTAGCGCTACAGTGAGTGATGCACGGTCTTGTCAAACGACTTTGGAGCTTTGGCTCATTGTCGAGTGTCTCGTTTTGGAAACCAGCTCTCAACAAAATCTGCTCAAGCACTTTCCTATCGTGCACGAGCCCACTTTCCGCCTCGACACCACTCCAGGATGCCTCGCTTTCACGCTCTCGATGCTCGGATGTCACGAAGCAGGAAGAAGGTGGTGGGCCGGAGAAGAGGTCGTGCAGCGTGTAGGAAAGCCTTGGCTGTCAGCACAGAACGCTGATGCTTGGCAGTCGCAGGGAAAGCCTCTCGTCGATGAGGAAGATGGCCAAGAGCTTGTCAAGGCAGTTGTGATGCGGGAGAAGACTGACATGTTGGCGCGCAACTTTGCAGCTCGCGCAAAGACCGAGAAAGATAGGGTCTCTGTCGTACAGTCATTGATGCTGTACCACGCCAACAACTTTTTGTCGCCGGATCTCAGTGTGCGGTGCTCTGGAGCTCAATCGCACGACGCGGTGGTCAGTCTCGCTCGAGATGCGGGTCTGTTCGACCCAGAAGCCTCTCACGCAAAGAGAGAAGTCCGGTACAGCGGAGACGACGTGGTTCGCACGACGCTAGGCGAAGCGTCGGATCTGGCCTTCAGCTACTCTTTCCTGCCCACTTATCTTCCAAGTTGTACAGATGAGGAGAAGGTCTGGCGACGGTGGTCCGAGCTCGCGGGCCGACGCCGCACCGCGTTCCTTCTACTCGTCCTCGACACGGTCGCCAGTCTCGACACGAGTCAGTCGTTCGCTTTGAAGCTCGAAGAACTCGGACACCTTCCGCTGCCAAGCCCAGACACGCTGTGGCGCGCTCCAAACGCCGACGCGTGGAGGCGTGCCCTCAATGCGTATCGGGGACCAACATTCGACGAATCCATGTTTGACATCTTGTCGGGCGATGGCGAGGAGGGTGTAAGCCCTGGCAAAACCCATCCTTCCGTCTTTGGCCCTCACGGGCCTTTTGCCCGCCTCGTAATCGTGAGCACGCTCCTGCGGGGTGTGCTACATCTGCTCGAAGGGCGCACCCTCAAGGTGTCCACCCCATCGCCGTTGGAACGCTGGATGCAAGGAACTGAGCGCAAGACAGTGCTCACTGGAGGCCGGGGCGGAATGGATGCTCAGGTTGAGATTTTCAAGCGTGGTGAGTTTGTGATGCGAGAGGAACCTGGCGCCGTACTCCTCTCACAGTCTTTCTTGCTTTACTGTCTTACAGCACTTGCAAGGTGGCGGAAGGCTTGGGACATGGACGATCTTTGTCTGTGCGCTTCTGGGCCAGCAGGCCGAGCCAAGGCTGGTCATGCTCCGGATGCCCGAAGACCATTTGGCGAGAACGTCATATTTACAGCGCAAACTGCGTCGGGGGCTACACCACTTTGCGACGACGCCTTGCCGTTCTATTGGCTTGCGCATGTGCTGCTGGGTCACGTCTCTAGCCCGACGACGGCGCTGCCACGCCGTTCGCCTTCGCCGTCGCTTGCAGATCAAAATCATCGCGGCAATCCTGCAGAGGGCCTCGACGCAGACGACTCTGGTGGTCAGCCGAGCAAAGGCAGCCCGGACTTCCGTTCGATGCTCAGGTTTGCGAAAGCGTGAGTGCAGGAAGGTTTTGCCAGCATACTCTGTTGGTTAGCATTGTGCTGATGGGATTCTTCGGTACTTTCCTGCTCGCAGTTTTGTGCAACAGGGTGAAGGCGCTTCGACCACTTCCAGCGAAACCGAGGCAGAGCAAGCGATTCGTAGCGCGGCGTAGTGTAAACCAGCATGTGCCAAGTCATCTAATGGAACAGTACTGTGTGCAAGCTTCTTCTCAACGTTTGCTGATCACCTGCCTCCCTGTAAGGTAGACTCGACACGACCGTGCCGCGCAATGCTTCCCTGGCCCTGTACATTTTCCTATCGATGCAACTTCACCTGTTTCCATCTTGTACCTTACTGCTCCTTTCGCATGCAACTGAGCCTGTCCTTCATCGGTTGGGGAGAGCCTAGGCTGCTCAGGCGTCGCGACATGCGAGCACAATCAGTTCTCGGTCGCGAGGGAGACTATATTCTTTGTTCGCAAGTCCTTGTTCCAGAAAGACGCTGCAGTGAGACAAATCTCAGGTATGCTCTTCAGCAATAGCGCTCTGCGTAAAGAGGGAGAGATTGGGACTCAACAGGATCTCCATCGTGACGTGGTTCCTGCCGCTAGTGAATCGGGCACTTAGAAGCCAGGAGAAGGGACATCGGGCAATTCAGCCTGGGACTCTTGTTCCTGCTGGGGCGTTCAGCTGTACGGTCCCGGTAGTGGGGCATAATTGAGAGTCAGTGTGAATCCTGCGTGCATGCGAGTCGATGTACGCTTTGAATAATGTGTTTGTGTCAAGTTGCGCGCTCTGGAAGGCCGCGCCGCAATCACGAATCATGCATTCACGTGGTGGCAGCAGGCCGGCGTTCAATCGTGAATGGCATATCCGTCCAACTTGTACGCCACGACTCTCGGGCAAGGATGTCGCATTGTGAGTGGAATGCCGGCGAGTGTGGAAAGCGAGTGAATGGACGTGTCCGACTCGACCTGTTCAAGCGACTTCCATAGCTCTGTCTCTTTGGATAAATTGTTGCCGCTATCACCTGTTTGTGTAGCTTGAAGGTGCTGCTGGCAGGCACGGCATGGCATATCCACGGCATGGCATGCACATCATCGATGCACAAGCTCCTAACTGCGGCGGACCCTGCCGATGCGATTGCATGAGTTCGCAGCTGTTTGTGTACGTGTGACGGGCGCAACGGTCTGCCTCAGCGCCGCGCCGCGCCCTGCAACGCTGACTGTCGCTGCACACACAGCGCGTGCTCCAGCTATATAGAAGACGGGCTCAGAGGCTGAGGTCGAACGTTCTGCGTGTCGAAAGATAATTTACATACTCGTCAAACTCATTCATATTGCATGCCGCTATACACATACAAAGCCCGCCAGACGGCCGGGGCATGGCTGATGAGATGGATGCACCATACGCGTCTGCCGATCTTGCACGCAATAATCTCTTTCAGTGTCCGTTGCACGCGCGCGATTATGGCGGCCGCGCCTGCCGAGCTCGCGTCGCGCATCAATCACCATCACGAATCAGCGCACGGTGGTTGCATGCCTGCTGCTGCTGATGCATGCGCCAGTGCACATAGGCCTGCGCGTTGTCTGTCTGCCTGCTTGCAGCGAGGTGTCCGCAACCATGCACCCTCGTCGTCGCTGTACCCCTTTTGCTGCTCTGCTCATGCAGGCGGCAACCGCGAGCTCAGGCCATGCAGCTGTCGCCCAGCAGCATCCTTTCCTAGCTGCATGCTGGATGCTATGCGCGAGGGTTCGTTCGCTGCACAGCATCAGCATCAGCATATGCCGTATGCATGATTCACCGGCCGCGCCTGCACATTGTGATTGAATTCGCCAAATCGCGAATTCCGGCGCAACGGCTGCTCTACCTAGCTGGTATAACGCCTGCATGTCCTGCCATCGCACGGCTGCTGCAAGTCGCTCGCGCTCCATGCACCAGCAAGCACAGCCAAGCACGAAGCGAGGGGACCCTTTGGGTGCAAAATCGTCATGACCGACCAAGCAGCAGCGCAACGAAACCGAACTTGCGCCCTG